AGGCGATGACGAAGCCGAACCCCTCGTTTTCACCGCGGCGGATTTCCACATCGTAGGGCTGGACCACGGCACTGACGACACCGCTGCCCCCGCCACCACCACTGCCGATGCCACTGGTGCTGCCGCTGCCCGAGCTGACGGTGTTGAGGGAGTTCTGGCTGCCCTGCGGCGTTCGCTTCTCCTCTGTCAGCGAGGCCGGCTGGTTGCTGCTGTGGTGGGAAGAGGCTGGGGACGGGACTTCATTCTCTGCCTTCGGAACTGAGGAGTTAAAAAAAGACTGTCTGAGCAAGCTGCATCATTTAGTGGTTGAAAAGTGCCATCCACTGAGAAAAAGGTAAAAAAATTAAGCAAATCACCTGCTTTAATCTACAAATCATGGCCAGAGTGACCAAGGGCTCTGTCTCCTTTCAGATGTCACCACCAACAGCTCTGTTCGGTGACAGCACTGACCACACATGCTCATCCTCTCCAGTGTATCGCCATGCAGCCAAAGCCTTTCGCTGCCGAACTACAGCAGCAGTACGGTTAAGCCAGTGCAGTGCTGCGTGCTTGGATGCTCTGTGGCATTTTAAACCTGGATTACATTTGTTCAGAGGTGCCTCCTTTAGATATCACAACCCCACTTCAGTTATATATGTGTAACCATATATATGTGCACAAGCCGCGAGGAGAGAGAGTAATATCAAATACCCATCACTGTGTATTTTTTAACTGTGTATTTTTTAACTCAGTGCTATCAGTTGGGTAGCACTGATTGCCTTTGATTAACATGAGCTTAAGTAGTAATAACCACCCATACTAAAGCAAAACAACTTGCAAACCAAGCTTTTCTGGATGGAAGAACCAGCAACTATCATCTCTACAGTCTGGAACAGTTGGGGGGAAACCATTAAACATTATTAACATTAATATTAAACAGGTGTTTAACAGCAACTGAAGTTGGAAGTGGTATTAGTTTAAAATCTAATCAGCTACCACAAGGCTTGACGAAATCTCAAAAAATTGCTTAGTTCACACTCTGCTCAAGTCAGGGCCAACTATACTTACTGTCAGTCCTGACAGATGTTTGTCTAATCTGCTGTTAAGTATCTCCCCAGGCAATCTATTGGTTGCAATATCTAACTTAAATCTTCCCTACTGCAACATAAGGCTATTATTTCTAGTTCTATCTAGCAGGCATATGGAGAACATATTATTCCCTTCCTCTTTGCAACAGCCTCTTATAGTCTTGGGGAGTTTAACACCTCCTCCCCCTTCTCTGCTTTAGGCTAAACAATTCCAATTTGTACAATATTTCCTTGCAGACCATGTTTTCTGGAGCTCTCCTTATTCTCACTGGTCCTCTGGACTCCTTCCAGTTGGGCTCTCTCCAACTCAAACATGTCTTTCTTGAAGTGCTGGACCATATTGCAGCTAAGCCATCATCTGCTGGGAAATCAGGAGAGCTCCCCCCTGCCTACATCCCAGCACAGTGTTTTTCTTCACCTGAGCCAACCTCAGGGTAAAGCCTGTGGCCCACAATAGCTTCCACTTCTTGTTAGTCAGCCAGTTCTCCACAGTCCATTTGCGTGGCTGAGAGCTGCATATTGCACTTGTCTCTATTTAATGGCTGCCTCCACTAATCAGGTCACTTCTCCAATTTGGTGAATCAAAATTAAGTTGAAGATCTTAAAAGCAACAACAAGAAAATGGATGCCAAACAAAATCTAAACCTGTAAACCCATGATCCAAAGAAAAAGAACTTTAAAATATTCTTGGGAAGGAGTACCTGTCTGCATTTATATACTCAAAGTATGTACTAAATATATAGTATTCTACATATTAAAAATACAAGAGTATAAACTTTCCCCTATATGAATCTCAAGACATGGAGTACCGATTTAGGTGAACGATCTTTTTCTACTGGCATATAGATGAGAGGAGGAACAAGGGACCAAAATTCAGGAAGATGCTTCTCTACAAAGTTATGCTGGAATTTAAAAGCCTGCAAATAAGGTGAAAGAAGGGCTCCTGAATAATTTATCCTAGAGTAAGTGTCCACATTTGAAATGATTCAGAAATAGCTCGGTCTGGAGTAACAAGCCCCTGAATGAAATATCAAGGGTTTTTATCAAGATCTCTCATGAATTTGAATCTTTTACGGTAATTTCCAGCCTGGAGGCTGTAAAATTGGACAGAAAATCTACACACAAAAACAATACTGAAATTCAGCTGCCCTTCCCCTTCCTCCCAAAGCTCATCTCCTAAAGCTTCTCTCACATTGGCAGCTCTTTGTAAGGAATGAGAGAGAGGCTACTAGAGGAGACATAACCCAACATTTAATCCACAATGGGAAGAAGGAAAGAAATTACAAGTGAACATTTATTTAATATTGTGCAGAAGGAGCTCAGCCCAGGATAAGAATACAGAGCTATTTTAGAGGTACTGCAGTCTTAACTTCTACTTGTGGGCCTAATTTGCAACCTGAATGTTATTTTGATGCTCTTTAAGATTAAAGTACATTACTGCCTATTTTTCTGCTGATGCCTAAACTTGAAAAGCTATATAATGTCCTTTCTTTTGAACAAGTGAGCTAACCTGAATCCCACACTCGAGCTCCCTTAAAGGGACTCACAAGAAAAGGCAGCACCCCACTGTTACCCTCCAATATTATGCATAAGGTCATGCTCGTGTCTTCATTTTCTTTGCTATCAGAACATTTTTGTGTCACTAATCTGGGTGCCACCAGGCAGTGTCGCTTCCCTCTGCATCTTTGCCTTTCTGCCAGCTTCTTTTTTGTCCATTTAGACCATACACTTGTATGCTAGCGCGTGCACAACACCGAGCATAACGCAGCACACAGAAACCTCCTGTTACAGCAAACATGCACACCCTGCGCTACCAGAACCAATGACGCTTACAGTTTTGCATCCTGCAGTTAGTTGACTACATGGTACAACCTCAGTTGAAGCTTCTCCTGCGCCTGGGACATTAGCCATCACCAATGCCCTCACTGACTCTCTGCCCTTGCCTCCCCTCCTGTGGACTCTTCAGCCTCTTTTCCTTCACTCCCAGCTTAAGGGTGGCTATCAGGCAGCACACTTATTTTGGGAAGAAAACAGAAGACACAGGCAGTCAGGCACAGTGTCTGTTGCTGCGCAAGTCCACCTAAAAATGGTATGTTGCAACTGAACAGTTCCCCATTTTATCAGAAACCTTCAAGAAGACTGGAGAAGCCAACTGAGGTTGAGAGAGTCTTGACTGGAAACAAAATATTTGAAACGTATTTGATGAAGAACAAAAAAGACTAAAAATAGCCAAAAGAGGAAGAATAAACCACATCACCTGAGTTTTCCAGTATTACAAGGAGGCGCTTTTGTTCTTTAAACCGTTTGCTGAACAGATGGAGTCTGGCAAGAAAATCTACCCCTGCAGAGCGACACTGCAGCCTACCTGTGTAAACCACTTTGCGCCTGACGGTCAGATTGACATGACCTTGTTTGGCTGCCTGTTGCATAAGCTGGACGACAAGCTGGTGCGATTTCCCGACAACAGGCGTTCCATCCACGCAGATCAGTTCATCACCCGATCTCAGGCGGCCGTCAGCATCAGCAGCACCCAGCGGTACAATGTGACCGATGTAAATCTGATGAATTAGCACAAATAGGAGAAAGACAGAAAGACAGAAAGAAAGACAGAAAGACAGAAAGAACGAAAGAAAGAAAGGAAAAAAAAAAAGTGATAAATGAGAAGTAGCTCAACAGACAGCTGGAAGCAAGGGGCACTGCTACTTAGACTTAATTTAGTAGGGAAATTGTTGACAAATGTCTGCTGGTCAGGAACATTGTTCCTGTGAAAGCAGCTCCATGTGAATATAGCCACATCGTGAAACTGTAATAAATTGACATCTTGTTTCTTTTCGCAGTCCATTCACTCTAATGACAGATAGCCTTGGGAAATGTGTTCAACCAGACAGGGACCAGTGAGGAAGATGGTTAAAGGCACTGAGGGTCTTGTCAGGGAGGCTGAGATTGAGTTATCCTTTCAGTTGCCTCTAGGGTTTACAAGCTCCGTACCACTCGACTGTCCACTAACTCAGTCTTGGTTTATCTTCAGTGAGTTCTGTGGAGTTACTCTAACATGAGAGGAATTCATGGCCACTCTTT